TAAAGGTCACTCTACCAGCCACCAGGGAAAGTGGTCCATCATGCACTTAGCACCCTGTGAGGGCCACAAGAAAATGAGATACCTGGTAGTGTCAGCCCTTGGTCCTCTCAGAGCTCTGCAAACAGCTCTGACCACTAGTGACTAAGGGGGAAAACAGCAAGGAGGGCTGAGAAGCAGCGAGAGGGGTGAGGTCTGTGGAGACCGGAAGAATAGAGAGAGGGAGAGGACAAGACGCTCAAGAAAGGAGATGGTAGGGGCAGGTGAGGCACACCAGGAATTACTACCACCCCATGGGAATTCAGAAGACAGAGTTCAGGTCATCTAGGTTCTTCAGAGTGGGTTTTGTTTGCCTCCTAGAGGCACCTACTGACAGGCAGTAGCCAGCTGCAATCTGCTCTTCCAAGTGAGCCATCAGACACCTGCTCAGTGTCTCCCAGGTACCATTGGTGCCCTAGAATATGGGTTTAATATTTCACTCCAAGCTCCTGAGGGAAGTGAGGATGATGACCTGCTCAAACCTATATGACAGGGTGCTCTGACACTCAGAGGGCAGATGGACAAACTCTTGTCTCTTCCACCTACAGGGCCTGGCTGAAACTTCAGGAGGCCAGCACCGCATCAGTGCCTGTCTGAGGGCCCCTGAGCCATACTGTGGCCCACTTTCTCATGGGGGTTCCCTGGGTATCACCCTTTATCTTTGTGTACCCTTGGCAACCCATGCCTGGGCCCTGCTGCTCTGTAAGACAAACTGTGGTCTACAGTACCTGACCTGGTCTTTCCTCAATGTGAGGTGTTGACAAACCTCAGGGATATCCCCTGTAGAATCAAATTTGGGCTGTCTAGAATGACTTAACTGGCTTGTGGATGTAGAAGTGGGGTTCTCTTTTGGATCTGCCTCATACTTACAGCTCTGTGTGTCTCTAGGGGTCATGTCACCCAAGCCCAAACCCTGCTTCTACTCCATGTTCACCCAGATTCTGAGTAGGGGAGCAGGTTAAAAAAGGCGGGGGAAAGGGGGGTTATGAGTGATCCAGAGAGGGTAGAAAGATCCTGAGAAACAGAGGCCTGGGGAGGAGAGGTCAGGCTGCCTCTATTAGAGTTGTTCTCTGTGCCCACAGCCTGTGGTCATGTCTGCAAGCCTGCATTGGACAAGTGCTCCATCTGCCTGGGTGTCTGTGGGGGCCAGTGCATATCTATGGTTGTTTATGCAGGTGTGTGAGAACCAAGTGTCTGTTGTGCAGATATGTGACTGTAGGTCAGACAGAAAGCACACAGTGGCATGCCCTCCCTGTTGGTCATGATGTGTATCTGTCCCCAGACCCACCCAGCACATGGGTTGTTCAAGTGTCTGTTCTGTAGGTTTGAAGAAGCCCTGCTCTGTGTGTGTTCAGATGTGCTGGAAGCTTTCTCCATGGTTTGTCTATGTTGCAGCTTCCAAGCTGTCAGAACCTCTGCTCCCCTTCAGTGGGGCAGCTGAGAGGTAGGTTCTTACCTCAGGGCAGAGCCCAGGCTGTTTTGCGGAGGGATGTGGGTGCCTTTGGCAGATCTAGATTAGGCAGAGAAGCCTTGTACCTAGAGGAAAATCACAATCATGGTGTGCGTCAATAAAAATCCTAAGATGCCCAGAACTACAGAGGACCATTCTCACTATTCAGGGGGGAGTCAGTCCAGAAAGGCACGTGGGACATTCCCCAGGACCACTATGTTTCCCCAGCCCCTTACAGTAACAGGGATTCTTGTGACAAGCCTCACTCCACAGTGGTACCTGATGACCACCAGGTGGGGGTTACAGATGGATTCACAATTCTGCCCTCCACAGGACAGCTGTAGCCCTAGATGTGCCAACTCTCAGCTGTTCCATCCAGCTTGTGTCCAGCCTGCAGAACCTGGCTTGGTCTTTCTCCAGTGTTAGGTCTTGTCCTAACAAGGGCTGTCCACTCTATTTAAGTAAGCCACCAATGACACATCTCTCCAGGCAATGGGTCATGCCATGCAAACTAACAATAGGTATAGTGTAAATTGCTCTAGAAAGATCCTCACCCCAAGGAAGCCTCTGTTAGGAATGCTGTCTACCCTCACTTGGTCCTATACAAAGATGTTTCCATGGTGTCATGTCATACTTATCAGTATGTATTTTTTCCACCAGTGCTAACAAAGACTTGATCTGAGAGACATCTGTCACCTGACATTAGATGCTACAATCATCACTGTCCTCATCCTGTAGAAACGGCCCCCAAATTCCCAAAGCCTGCTGGGTTATATTCTATGTCAGCTCAGTAGGTCAGATTTGCATTTCTCTCAATTAAAATTCTTTATGGACTGTTTTCCCTCCCTTTTATATTTTGTAAGAGTACTTTGAGTGTCACATTAGTTTTCTTACACCTTTGAATCCAAATTAAGGAGCACATGTCCCACTAGTATCTTTTTCAAACCCTCTTATTTAAGCCCAGCTATTTCCCCAGACTGACTGCATTCTGATGGCCTCAGAGAATGGCCCTGATTTTTAAAATTTTGTTTGGTCTTCTTTCATATAGTAAAAAGCAAGTTTTGGCAAATATTTATTAGATTTGGATAGTTGAAATGTACAATTTAAGATGATCAAAATATTCAATTTCATGATATGTATTTTAAACAACTTGGGGATTGTTTTGGTTTTTTACATTGGGGTGTGTGTGTGTACAAGAATGTGTATGCACAAAAGCCAGAGGACAACTTGTAAAAGCAGTTCTGTCCTGTGTAGATTCCAGAACTGAACTCAAGTCTCAGACCTGGCAGCAAGTGCCTTTACCTGCTGAGCCATCTCACCTGCCTTTGCACAAGTTCTAAATGAAGACATTTTAGAAAGCTGTGGCTACATGGGAGAGGAACATTGATACTCTGCCTCTCCAAATGTTTGTATTCATGGATTTTGATAACTTTCATTTTGCCAGCTAGAACTAAACAAAAACCACAGTAAGAAACATATTTGGTCTCCAGTGTCTAATACAAGAGCTTCTAAAACTCTCAGTTTTCTGAGTGCTATGGAGAACATCTTTTGTTACTATGTAAGCCCCTTTCAGTCACATCTGAGTTCATTATAACAAGTTGACTAGCTGGACCCCTAGCTAGCTTCAGGGCTGGACCTAGTTGTCAAAGGAGCCTATTATGTGCTAAGAAGACTGAACTTTCAGCAAGCCTTGCTGACTTCTGGGTAGGAGAATGATTTGCTAATGGCCAATGACTTCATCAACCCTGAGTACATAATGGGATCTCCATAAAACCCCTCAACAATAGGGTTCAGCAGAGTGAGTCACACCAACTCATGGGGATCTTAAGTATCTATCTGGCTGTTTATGTGGCCTTCGTGATAGCCCTTAGAATAACTGGTTAAAGTTGTCTCCTGGACTTCCAGGCACTATTACAGGAAATTATTGACTCAAGGAGAGTTCAAGTTATAGGCACACCAGAAGTATGGGCCACATCACTACTGACTGGAGTCTGAAGGGGAGGGGCAGTCTTCTCAGGCTGAGCCCATCTCACTAGTAGATGTTTATTCTGGGAAGTGTCAAAATTAAAATACATTGTAGGTCATTCAGTTGCTGTCTGTAGACAAATGATGTGGAAACCCACATATTTTGTGCCAGAGGTGTTTTAAGAAAGTTTTCCTTTACTGCACAAAGAGCAGGTGAAGACAAAGAAAAGTAACTTTCTGAGCTTCCCAACAGCTTGAGTGATCTCATTAACTGCCTACATTTCCTAAGGGTGTGGATTTCTAACAGTATCCTGAGAATTCCGACAGTTTCATGGAGCCAGAGACCATGAAAAGTACTGAGTGGAAATCCAAGGCAGACGCCGTCCTTCAGGACACAGAGATATGTCTGCAGAGCCGTTACAAAAAGGAACCCTCTAATGTGGTACTGGGTGGAATATACTTCTATGACAGGCATCTATAGCAAGTGTCACTGGGGACTCACAGTATTTGGGGCGGGGGGGGTATATGCATATCATATATTCAATGTGATACTTAAACTTAATTTTTTCAGTCAGAGTACTACCAAGGCTTAAGATTTGTCATTTTTATGCCCATTAGTGTCATTAGTGACTTCTAAAGTTATCTTTTGTTAAAATGTCTCTGAATACTGAATATATCACAAATTTTATAAAGGTATTTCCATTTTTGTGCTTTACCTTTCACCCTTACTTGGGATTATTTGAAATACACAGAAATGTTTATTTTTTTAAGTTTTTTTTTTTTTTTTAATTTGGTTTTGGTCTTTCTGAGACAGGGTTTCCCTGTAACCCCAGCTGGTCTGAAACCTGCTAACTTGCTACATAGACCAGTTGGCCTGGCCTCGATCTCAAGAGAGATCCACACATAGACCAGTTGGCCTGGCCTCGATCTCAAGAGAGATCCACCTGCTTTTGTTTCCCGAGTGCTAGGATTAAAGACAGGCGCCACCATACCCAGCTAGAAATGTTTCTTTTTTTGAATAACTAATTTGTCAAGATTTTCTTTACTGTTCATCTCTACCTTGGGTCTGATACTTTAAAAAATGTCTATTCAAAACACACAAAAAAATACTCATTTTTCCTTTTTAAAGGAAATCTTTATTATATTTCCTCCTTACAAAAGTCATGCATGCTTGTTAAAAATGAAACAGAAATAAATTAATTTCTCCCTTTTTACTCCTTTCCTTTGATGTCCCTCTGTGGAGAATTTCATTTTCTCCATATGAGTTCCACAAAATAATTACTCCTAGAAAATCTACTTTTCTTGATGCTGCTAGGAATAGGCTGTTTTCTTCATTGTATTTCCTAACTAGTTACTAGTATAAAGCTAAGTTATTTTAGATATAACTTTTTAGCTGGTCATCCATTCCTGATTTTAAAAAAAAAATGAATAAACAAAAGACTTGTTTCCAAATAAAAACTTCCATATTCATTCCCCTCTCAAGATTCTCTTCCAAATAGTAACTGATGATACATGATCCATTTTCCATTAACCTTAGTTTTCTTCATCCTTCTATTAGGATTTGCCTTCGTTGTGAACATTCTGGTGCTGATTAAGTTGGAAGCTAAACCTGAAAGCTTTGCCACATACATTACACACATATGATTTCTTCCAAGTATGGACAGTCTGGTGTATAATACAGTCAGAACTAAAGCTGAAGCCTTTGCCACACTCTACACATCGGAAAGGTTTTTCCCCAGTGTGGCTTCTCTGATGTCGAATCAAATGAGCATTGACATGGAAGGCTTTTCCACACTCTTTGCATTGAAAGGGTTTCTCTCCTGTGTGGATTCTCTGGTGCACAATATAGTCAGAGCTACAGCTGAATGCTTTCTCACATTCCATACACTTGAAAGGTTTCTCCCCGGTATGTATTCGCTGGTGCCTAGTTAACTTGGCATTGATAGTGAAGGCTTTTCCACATTCTTTACATTGATAAGGCTTTTCTCCAGTATGGGTTCGTTGATGATCAAGTAGGTTTCTTTTAGAAGTAAAGCACTTTCCACATTCATTACATTCAAAGGGTTTCTCTCCTGTGTGAGTTCTCTGATGCTGCATCAGTTTCGCATTAACGTTGAAGGCCTTTCCACACTCATTACACTTATATGGCTTCTCACCAGTATGAATTCTCAGATGCTGCCGAAGCTGGGAGTTACACCTAAAAGCTTTCCCGCATTCGTTACATTTATAGGGCCTCTCACCTGTGTGTATTCTCTGGTGTTGGATTAACTTCCCTTTGGCACTAAAGGTCTTTCCACACTCACTGCACTCAAAGGGTTTCTCACCTGTGTGGACTCTTTGATGTTGAATGAGTTTTGCATTTTTATTGAAGGCCTTTCCACATTCACTACACTGATGGGGTTTCTCTCCAGTATGTACACTCTGATGCTGCCTAAGCTGGGAGCTGCACCTGAAGCCTTTCCCACATTCATTACATTCATAAGGTTTCTCTCCAGTGTGAATTCGTTGATGTTGAATTAATTTTGCATTGACATTGAAAGCTTTCCCACAGTCTTTACATTCATAAGGTTTCTCCCCAGTGTGGATTCTCTGATGTGTAATATACGCAGAACTACAGGTGAAGCCATTTCCACATTCCTGGCATTGATAGGGCTTCTCTCCTGTATGGATCCTCTCATGTCTACTTAGACTCCCATTAACACTGAAGGCTTTTCCACACACCTTACACTGATAAGGTTTCTCTCCACTGTGGATTGTCTGATGTGCGAGATAATGTGAACTATAGCTGAAACATTTCCCACACTCCACACATTTGAAAGGTTTCTCTCCATTATGAAGTCTTTGATGCCAAATTAATTTTGCATTAACACTGAATGCTTTGCCACACTCTGTACACTGATAAGGCTTCTCCACAGTACAGCTTTCTAGGTTCTGATTAGCTTGAGAGTCACATCTAAAGGTTTCCACTGATTCTTCACATTTCAAAGGTCTTTCCTCTGTAGTAATTACTTCATCCTTAATAAGTTTTGTGTTAGAGCTGAGGGCTCTATCTAGTCCTATACACTCAGGATCCTGTTCTCCAGTGGAGATGGTATGGTACTGGGGTGAGTTTGGAGTCTGATTAAATAAATACTCCTCCACAGAGCTTGTCTCAACTTTTACTAGCCCATCAGTGGCACTGTTGTTTTCCTTTTTCACATCTGCTGCTGAGCGTATTTCCTGTTGATGCTCTAGCATACAGGTTTCTGAAAAGTTTGCTTCCTGGGAAAAGTCTTTCTGAAGTTTAAATGATATACTCTCTTTTTCTTCACACATTTCTTTTGTCAAATTATTGCCAGTCCAGGTATCAGTATCTACTACAAAAAAAGTAGAAAATAAATGTCACATGGGAACCATGTTAAAAGAGAACATAATAATCAGAGGGCTACTTATTTATTTTACATAGGCTCTCAATAAATAGCCTAGGCAGGCCTTTAACTCCTTGATTCTCCTGCCTCTGCCCCCCAAGTGGTAGAATTCTATGTGTGAAACACCATGCCCAGTTATAGAAGGCTCTTCAAAAACCACTAGACTAGGCCAAATAATCTAAGATTTATTCATAAAATGGAATAAAATGTAGTTAGTAAAAAAAATAAAATACAACCAATTACATAGAAATGAAAAAATGTCCAAGATATACTATAAAGTAGAAAAATAAATTGAAAAATAGTGAACAGAGGAGATTCCAGTTGTGTAAAGGGGGGGGGAGCCATGTACATATATATCTCTATCTCATAAAACTTCTGAAAATATACACAAGAAACCATGCAAGCTGGCACAAGACGTTTGGTAGACTTCTATAGTTTTTATATACCTCATACACTTTCCATACTGTTTTGAGCACATCAGTATTATAAATTTTATAAAGTAATGATTATTAAAGATCACCAGTCAACAGGATATAATGGCACATGCCTGTGATTCTACACTTGCGAGGGAGAGATGAGGATGACAAGCTGAGGTCATCCTCAGCTACAGTGAGTTTGAGCCAGTCTGGGCTTTATGAGACCATCTCAACCAAAAAAGATCCCCAGTCACCCTCTGTCTAAGACAAGGCCATCACAAAAGGCATGATCAATAACATGAAGGTTAAAAGTGGCGGCAGTGGAAGAAAATTCTAGGTCTTGTTTATCAGTATTTTTCCCATCATGCCATGCTTTTCTAAATTCTACAACTTCTTCCTTGTCCCTAAGAACTGAGTTCCTTATTTAATAAAAGTAGAAAATTCTTAGCAAAGAAAAGGCAGAGGACCTACCAACATGCTGCAATACTGGGCACCAACAAGTATCAACAGAACCATAAAGCAAAAGAATTATGTTTCTTTCCCCAGAAATTAATTCTAGCCTTTCCAAACTCCTCTTTCAGCTTCTCCTCTGCTTCAGAAAGGCTCTGGAGAGCCTTGGCCACATCTCTTCCTACCTCTCCAGAATACTGCTGCATGAATTTTGTCCTCCAGCAATCCTAAAATTGATCATCTCCTAAAATCCCTTCTATAATCATAGTTTTTATGCTCCTGATCGCTCCACTTATTTCCAAGTTTCTCAAAAAGTCAGCCCCCAAAATGTTTCCTCTATTTTTCTTTCATCTCTCAATTACGTAAACTAGCATTACTACTTCATTATAATTATTCTCAACAACACAAATAACTAGATTCTTCTAGAAAGGATTTTAAAACAATATGAGGCTTCAATATCAAAAATATTCATCTGTCGCTATAGATTCAATGCCCCACATTGGGCGCCAGCTGTGGGGTCTCTCCCTCACCTCGTGGGTCGTTGGCCACTGGTCCACGAGGACAAAGGGGGCAGAAGCGACAAACAGGGTCAGGACGGCCACTGAGCACTGACGGAAGAAAGCCCTTCCGGGGAGGCAGGTTCAGTGATACAAACGGCTCCAGACTCAGTGAAACAGCTCTGTTTATTCAGTGGGGGTTAGGGAAAATATAGTGTGGAGGCAGTAGCCAATGCTTCAGCTGATTGATAGGTGCTCATAGTATGCTTTATTTACATGTGGCAGTAGGCTCCTATCATCCGACTGGGCAGTGCCTAATTATCATATAGAAAAAACCTGGGGGTAGTTTTTACTCCAGGTAACTATGCCAAAGGTCATGTTCCAAATAAGGTCAGGCATCCTGCTTGGCAGCACTTTCCAGGTTAGTCAGGCAGAGAGCAGGAGGCCCCCTGCTGAGAAGGCGAGTCCTTCCATATAGTGCCGAGCTCCTTATAGCTATCCGGACATGGAGGACTACAACCCTAGCAGCAGGGTTCCCCAACAATTTCCAAGTTTCTCAAAAAGTCAGCCCCAAAACTGTTTCCTCTATTTTTCTTTCATCTCTCAACTATATAAACTAGCATTACTACCTCATTATAGTTATTCTCAACAACACAAATAACTAGATTCTTCGAGAAAGGATTTTAAAACAATATGAGGCTTCAATATCAAAAATATTCATCTGTTGCTATAGACTCAATGTTTGTTGTCATCCATCTCCACCATTCATCTGTAGAAATCCTAACCTCCAAAATGATCATTATTGGGGGGAGGGCCTTTGGCAGAGCCCTCATGTATGGAATTAAAGTGATTTAAGAGACCTGGTAAAGCTCTCTTCTACCATGTGAGGACATGACTAGAAGATGCTACTGTACACTAATCTGGAAACAGGTCCTTATCAAACACAGAATCTGTCTGTAACTTGATCTTGGATTTCCAGCCTCCAAAACTGGAAGAATAAATTTGTTTTTATAACACTATGTTATTTTTATTTTATGAGTGTACTGCTTGCATGTATCTAAGTATGCCTATGCCCTGCATTGCCCAACGAGGTCAGAAGAGGGGATTGGATCCCCTCAGGAGTTAGGGACAAGAGTTAAGAACAGTTGATAACTGCCATGTAGGTGTTGGGAATTGAACCTGGGCATCCTCTGCAAGAGCACTCAGTATTCTCAACTACTGAGCCTCTCTCCAGCCTCAAATTTATGTTCTTTATAAACCACCCACGTATTCTGTTATCACAGCACAAACTAAAACATCTGGAAGACATAAACTTATGTTGTTTATAAACCACACAATCTATGTTATTCTATTACAGTAGCTCAAACTGACTAAGACAGCTGTAGTCCTAGAAGCTTAGAAATTCAAATTACCTAAAACATGATTACCAGGTGCTTAAAAGCAACTTCTGCTAGGATTTTCCTTTCAATCTTTTTTCTCTTTTTTTTTTTGTCTTTTTGAGACAGGGTCTCCCTGTAGCCCCAGTTGGCCTGAACTTGCTATGTAGACCAGGCTGGCCTTGAATTCACAGAGATCTGCCTGCCTCTGCCTTCCAAGTGCTGGGAGTAAAGGCATGCATCACTGATTCTTTACCATTTTTTCTATACTAGTGACATCCCACTTATCAAATCCCATGGTATGGCAGATATCAACACCCACTCCCTGTTCATTTCATCTTTACTAGATTTTTCTTTTGAAGTACCAATCTGCCCACTAAAATCCTATTCCCCATCCTTTCTTGCAGTAAGGATTCAAAGTTGAGCAAGGGAAATTTTAAACAGAAATCACTTTGGGTAGGAGGTTATGAGGGTTTTTTTCTTTAAAAAAAAAAAAAAATGCTACCAACATGGTCTTCGTGCCCTCCATCTTTTCCTGCCTGCATAGAGTCTGATTTTTCACCCTAAACGGATGAGACTATTGTCTACAGAAGGGGACCCAAATATATTTGATTAAGGGACCTTACAGTATGACTACAAATGCAGACTCTGGGCTGAAGACTTAAAATCTGAACACCTGTAAGAACCCCAAGTGATCATTTATATATCAACATTTGAGAAGCATGGAATTGAGGGCACTTTCTATTTACAACCTTTTTGTAGAGCTCTTTCCCCACACTCCAAAGTAAAAATATTTAACTGAGCATACTATGCTGGGTAGCTGATATATCTCATAGTACTGAGCCCACTAAGCACTACTGCCTCCTTTTATTATTATCTCATTTTCAAAGATGAGCTCACTTGACAGTACGGACCTTAACTGGCCTGCTGAGTCATATAACTAGGAGGAAACACAGTTGGGATGATACCTCAGCAAAGTCCACTCTAAAGACAGCTTTTAGCTCCTTCTGTCTTTCTGTGTGAAAAAGCTGTTAAGGCCATATCCTTCACATTAAGTGGACAGTGTTAGAAAATGGCAAGGACTCTCAAAATTACTTAGCCCATTAATTTTGTTTGAGGAAGATGTGAGATATAGCATGGCATTTTGGGGTGCGGGGGAGCATTGCCGTAAGTACAGAAAACTAACAGAACAGATCCCTCTCTATAAACCATCAAATGTATTTCCAAGGCCCCAAGTTCAACCCCCACAGGGCATTAAAATACAAACTTCAACCATGGAGATAATCTGTGCCTCCCTTACCAGTCCAGAGGCCCTGGGGGTCTGTTCCAGATCCAGTGGCCAGTTGAGATAGGCCTCCTAGATCACCTCTTTCCTCTAGTTGTAAGATCACAGCAGGTTTGAAAAGTGGAAATCCTGGTTTAGGAGAGGGAAACAGAAAAGACATGAATAATTTCCCACAAATGAGTTCCTAACCTCTTCTCAGATTGCCTCAGAAATGGAGAAGAAAGGTAAGAGCTCTCAGAAAGTTGGAGGTAAGGATGAGAAGGGCCAGAATGTGAGCTAGGGGACCACATGCAGAGAAAATGGGGAGTGTCTTCCCAGAGGGATACCACTTTTTGACCTGGACTTGAAATATTTGGAGTTCAGTGAGATTCTTTTTGTTTTGTTTTGTTTTGTTTTGTTTTTTAAGACAGGGTCTCCTTGTATCCTGTAGACCAGGCTGACCTCAATTTCATGGAGATCTGCCTGCCTCTGCCTCCCAATTGCTGGAATTAAAGGTGTGTGCCACCACACCTGGCTTCCAGTGAGATTCTTAAAAAGACTCAGGATGCAGTAAGGCAAGAAGCAATCTGAAGATGCCACTGTGGAACATGAAGTTACTATTTTCACAGTGTCCAATACACAGCTTCCCTACAGTAGTTCAAAAGTGTGTATCACTCTCAGCAAAGGCCTATATTGGTCCCAGCTGGGGTTTGCTCTTTCCAGAAATCCTTACATAAGGAGATTTAGAAAGAGCCCAAGGATCCCACTCATAAAGGATTTCCAGATCCCTACCTGCCACCTGTCGTGGAGAAGGGAGGCAGGGAATCCCAAATGGCAGGGTCTGAATCCCAGGGAGAGAGGGGCTTACCCAAGGAGGCCACATTCCTATAATTCTCCAGCATTACATCCCTGTACAGGGCCCTCTGCGCAGGGGACAGAAAGCCCCATTCCGTCTGGGTGAAGTACACAGCCACGTCCTCAAAAGTCACCAACTTCTGAAACAACAGGTTCCTGCTGCCCTAGGGCCAATTCCATGGCTCAGGCCCTAAGTGAGGGGCAGAGGGCAAAATAAGGGCTTGGGGAGGGAGCTTGTGAAAAGCATAAAATTAATAGCAGGGAAAGTTGAGAAAAAAATGCCAAGAAATAAACTATAGAGTCTCTGTCTTCTCTCACAACAGAGAAACCTCATGTCATTTTTATAGTTACAAAAGATAACAAAACTGGGCTGAAAGAAACAAAATTCCCAAAAGCAAATTCTGCTACAGCAAGTCTGCTCTTTTAGACAGGCCATTACCTCAGGGGCAAGCTCAACTGGATGAACCAGCAATTCCCACTGCATCCCTATTAAGGTCTTGACTCCTCTGTGCCTAACCTCAGCTCCCCAGCTCCACTCCTGATGTATCACCCTCATACTCACAAGGCAAATCACATGTCCCCCACCTGACCAAAGGCAACCAGGGCTTCCATCTCCTTTGCTTCTTGACTCCCCTCATAGACCCCCAGCCATGGGCTCCAGAGTCTCTGTTCCAGCACCACTAGCCAAGGAAGGAAGTTCAGTGATGATGAGGCCTGGGGTCTCCCTATCCTTTCCAATTCCTGCCACAACTGCAGTCTCAAGTTTGAGAAAGAGACACCAGCTCTCCCTTGCTGGCTGCTCTGCCACTTTTCTGGTTTCTCATTTTTTGTCACTAAACTATGTGGTCAGCAGAAGCTCTGCTGCTTAGAGCTGGTGCCGTCACTCAGAACATCTCCTCTCTCCTCCCCAGCGGTGCAGGGCCCTGCTGCCCGCCCCCTTACTGCCCCCCCAGCCAGCACCACCTTCTACAACAACCCTGGGGACTCACATGCAGGGATTTACCTCTTAAACCCTCTGTGCCAGGACTGGTCGTCTTGATTCTACGATTTCCACCCTCCAACAATTCTAATACCGTCTCAAGGTATTCCTGCGAGTCTCCTTTGAGTGACCTCAGACATAGCACGCACAAAAGCTTTTGCATGCCTCGACCACCCTTTTCCCTAGTAAACTGTTACCTCCTCCTGAATTCATCCTTTAGTTGGGGGTCACTCAGGATACTTCAGCCAAAAATCCAGGGTTTGCTCTAGACCCACCCCCTTCTCTGTTTATCCTCAGTCCTTTGAATCTGAGTTCTAAAGATTTTTATGTTCCAGGCATTACTTTAATTGGATCTCTTCTCTTTAACAAAGACTTACAAAGTTTTGATGAAGCCTCTATCACCTAAACCTGAAATACTTTCTTGAACGGTCACCTTGTTTTTGAATCTCCTCTAAAAACTATTCTGTATGTGGCTGTCATAAGTCTAACCAAGTTATTGTCACTGATTCCACAGCTGTGACATGGAAGAGCAGTTATGAACCACATAATAACTCCCCTGGACACATCACTGCCCTTTGCCTCCATTTCTTTCTGAAGAAACACAGGACCTGTCACAGGAGGCAGATGACTGGACTAAAAGGTCCATCATGCAAGGGGCATAGAATGGAGCCTAGAGCACAGTCATCCTCTAACCATGGTACTAATGCTACTAAGGCTAAGCCTATTCCAAACCTGGAGTCCATGCAAGTCCATGGATGAGTCTCAGGGTCTATGAAGTCCCTGAGGTGTATGAAAAATCTGATTTGCAAGTTTACTTTAGGGGCAGAGGCTTGAGAGTTCCTATCAAGAACATGAAAGTCTGTTCAGATATGGTGGCACATCCCACCCAGCACTTGGAGGACTGAGGCAGGAGGATGGAGAATTCAAGGCTAGCTTAGGCTACATAGTGATACTAGCTCAAAACCACACACACACACAGTCTGAGTCTGAGCCACCACATTCCAAACCCTGAACGCTCACAAGGACCCAATAGGCACTGTCTTTCTTCTCCCTTGAACCCACTCCCCATCACCTTCCACTTCCTCAGAGGCACAGCCTTCCTTCACACTGCTCTGTTCTTCCTCTCCCTTGCCAACCCTGCCACTGAGCATCCCAAACCCCTGCAGCTTCTCCATTCATATCCGTGCACAGAGGATCACAGAGGCAGTTTCTACTTTGCAAGTGCCCTCAGCTAGGGCGCTCCTATGCAGAGGCATACAGACCGTCATGTGCCTCCACCTTCTGGGTTCACTTTCCTGCTACCACTACAGCCTCTAACACCCATCCTCCAGCCTTTCCCACAAGATGCAGTTTGGCAGGGGGAAGCAGCTTGCATGCCAAGGCTCGCCAGCTCTCTTCTCAGTTCTTGATTTGAACTGCTCAGAGGAAGAGCTGAATGACCCACAGCTCACCTGGGGCCAAGCTGTCAGGATCAGGGCTGCCATCACCTGGTCTCCCTCTCAGAGTAGGGCTGGAGCTGAGGAGAAACAGGGGAAACAGGGGAGAAGGCGGGAGGCAAGCCACCCCAATCAGGAGCAACACTGAAGATCTGAAGTACAGGCAGTCGACATCCAGAGAGATACAGGAGCTGCCCAAGAAGGTGTGCTCACTCTCTGGCCCAGTACCCCTCCCAAGACACCAACGCTCTGAAGCTGACTGCCAGGAACCCTAGGATTTGACAATTCTGGCAAACATCATATAAAAGTGCTTATAAAATGTATGCAGAACCTTAAAAATAACGGACCCATGAACCAACAATTGGGCTCGAGATAACCAAAACAACTCATTTCTCTTTCTGTAAACAAGCAACATTCTCTATCACTCATACTGTGAAAGGCTTGCTGGATAGCAGGCCAACCTGGGCTGTACCAGACCCCGCCTCAAAGAAGAAGAAAGGAGGAGGAAGAATCCTATTGTTTTGCTTGATGGGTATGGTGATACACACCTGTAATCCTAGCATTCACGAGGCCAAGGCAGGAAGATCTCAAGTTCAAAGTTCCAGGCCAGGAACCCTGTCTCAAAAAAAATAAACCCTAAAGTTACTGTGAAGGTCTTGGCAGGATGGCTTCCCACGTGGCCTAGGCTAACTGTGAGGAAGTAAATGAGGTAGCAGGCTGCCTCTCCCTTCTCAATCTAAACTACCGACTTTCTCATCACAAAAATGACAAGCAGAGGCTTTCTGCAGTTCACGGAGGAACTGACCAGCTTTGCAGAGCTGTAATCTACCTGCACAAGGATCTACACCATATATACTTCATTCCTGCCCTAAGGCTTCTCTGGCATTGTGTGTGGAAAAACCTCTTAGGCCCCAAAGTGTGGGGAAGTAAACACCTGTGGGGAAGTAAACACCTGTGGGGTGACCCTTAACCAGTAGGGGACAAAAGTTGATGGATGTTTTCCCCATTAACCCCAGGTGGACATCCTTGAGATTCCAAGGACTTTCAAGACTCTGTAAGATAGACTCTGTTGAGGGCCAAGCCTGAAAAGGCTTGTTAAAGCAAACTAAACGGGCCTAAATGTGTGTGGCTTGAGTGTCTATTTCTTTCTTAAAACATCCTTTGATAATTTAAAAGGAAAACTTGTTCTACAATGGAAGACTATACAATTCTATTTGAATCTAACAAGTTAACTACCAATTTTGTACATTAACAAACCAAAGAAAGGTTAGCACACTGTCCATCTCAGGAGATGTCAAAGGTATTTGAAAAAATACAATATTCATATCTAATTTTTAAAAATGTATACCTGGGGAGGGGCCGGATCTGGGAGAAGACAAGAGGAAATGGAGGGTGAATACTATTGATCAAAATATACAAAATTCTCAAAGAATTAAAAAAAAATATTTAAGCCGGGCGTGGTGGCACACACTTTTAGTCCCAGCACCCAGGAGGCAGAAGCAGGTGGATCTGTGTGAGTTCAAGGCCAGCCTGGTCTACAGAGTGAGTTCCAGGACAGCTGGGGCTACAGGGAGACCCTGTCTCTAAAAAAAAAAAAAAAAAAAAAAAAAAAAAAAAAAAAAAGAAAAGAAAAATGTACCCCATGTACCCCATGGGATATTCTCATATATAGGAGATATGCACAAAAAATATTCTCCACTAGTACTATTTTCAGAGCATAAACAGTCTGAAAAGGACCTACAAGTCCATTACGAATACATAAGTTTTTGTACTGTTTTTACAATTGAACACTGCATACATTGATGAATTTAGGAATTATTCTAGTATCGGGTGACTATACAAAGATATTTTTAAAAACAATAAAGGCTAAATCGTCTACAGATAAACTGCATATGGGGACATTTTAAAAAATAGGCTATGACTAACACGGAGTTCAATATATTTGTTACCACTAAGCTTGTGTGACGCCCACACACCAGGTCCCAGCACTGATGCCACAATGCCGACAAAATTCTTATTTAATTGGTGACAGGCTCACAGGAGTTCGTTTTGCAACTATGCATTTCTTACACACACACGCACACGCACCCAGATTGAGATGGATGTTGAGGACCCCAAATGGAACAGCAAATGATCCTAATGAATTACAACTAACATACCCATACTGCAACGGTGGAGAGGGAGGAACGACTAAGTAACCTTGGGAAAACAGTACTTTGCTGAAACACTATACAGCTATAAAGACAGAGACCTATACCCAAACACTATACTGTTTTCTGTGGGGGTATGACTTAGCAATTCTGAAACTGTTTTGTGTGTATTGTAGAACTGAGCAGTCCTAAGGGAAGTGTGTGCCTTGTGTGTATTAACCGCGTTACCTGTGACGACATACATAGCTACAGGCCATGTCTCAAGCCAAGCTTCTCCCCCCACCCCCGTGACTCGGAGGGGCCTTGCTTTTTCTGTGGTTCCACTTGTCCTTAACCCTGTCGGGACCCGGGAGACTCGCCGTCCCCACCTGAAACGCACGCACGCCCTCGGCCGGTCCAAAGCAGCCGGAGCCGCCAGGCCCGCTCAGTCCACCCTGGAGCTCGAGCACAGCTACGGAGCAGGCCAGCTGCGCAGTGCTCGGCCCGGCGCGTGGCTGTCACTCACGCTGCGCCCTCCGCGGGACCACGCACTTCCAGCCACCGTGTCCCAAGCCGGCGTGCAGGAGGCGATAGTGGACCCCAGGCTGCCGCGGGAGGCGGCGGGAGACCCTATTCCACCCCTCGGGGAAACCAGGGGCCAGGGCGCTGCCCACCGAGCCCGAGCTGGCGCTCAACAGCACGGCGAGCCGCCCTAGCGGCGCGGCCGGAAGTGCGTCACAGACGGAGCTGCGCCCTGCTCTGTGGCGCCCCCGCGCGTTCCCTGGCGGTTCGGCTCTGTCCACACCCACTTGTCCCTGGGCGATGGGTTCCGACTGCTGGCTGAGTGCAGTGCGTTGCTCCTGCGGACCCGGAGAGGCGGGAATCCGAGTCCGGCGCCCCGTCCACCCGAGCAAGGCCGCCGGAACTTGGGTCTCGATAAAGCTGCAGGTGGCAGCAAGTGGATCGCAGGCTGTTTAATGATGTCTTACTTAGTAGCGCCAAGAAGCAGGGATTGTATTTATCTTGTCCAATGTCACTATCCTCAGCTAGGGAACAAAAACAAGCCCAAAAGAGTGGAATAATAAGCATTTGTGCTTGACGTGACGCAAAAGCTCCAGCCCCAACGCCTGAGAAGAACCTTTTATTTCTATGCTACTAAGGGTAGGCTATTTCCTGAATGCCTGGGATCATGACACTGGACATTGGCAGGAGCCTTTCGCTGCCTTGCCCTGACCTTGACTTCACGGTTTTCCGGAATGGGCATTGTATGTGGCTGCTCTCATTCAGTCAGAAAAATGGTCCCGTGATGGGCCAGAGTGGTACTTAACTGCTGTTGGATTGCAATAGGCGCTGGTTTCCTCTTCTTGGCACAGAAAGCAGACCTGTAGGTAATAGGGCTTGCTGAGAGAAACAGGAAGGAATAAGATCATAATACCACAATAAGTACCACATAAATACTGGACTCAAATGATTGGCTCACACATCAGAACTCAGTGGAATTTTGTAGATGGGAAAATAACCATGAAGTTCTGGATAGTAAGGGTGTTAAAACAGGTATAAAACCAAGTTAAAAAACTTGTGATAGGTCTGAAGAGGCTGACGGAAAACTGTCTCTCAAACCTCTACTCTTCTTAACAATCTATAACAGGCACATGACAAATCCAGGGGAAAGGTATTCCTCCAGTATTCAGTGTGGTCATTCGACAACTTCTGTCAAATAAGCTGGGTTTTTGTTTGTTTTTTGTTTTGGGGTTTTTTTTTTTTAGGTTTTTTTTTAACTTTTACAAAAACTTTACTGAGAATTTCACACATGTATATAAAGGTATTTTGATCAAATCCATGCCCCACTTTCTCCCCTCCAACATTACCTCCTCTGAAGAAGTAACCCTAAAATCTTTTAAGGATTAGATACAAGTTCCCAAATACTTTTGACAGTTTGGGCCTTTGAAACAGAGTATGTTGCTAACAGGCCCAAGGACATTTAGCCAAGAAACTGGCCACATTTTGGGGGGGTCTTTTTACCCTATCTGCCTAGCCAGTTCCTACCTCCTTATCACACCATCCTCCGAAGGGGTTACCCAAATTGCCAATAGGAAATAGGGACTCAGGGAATAGGGAATAGCCACTCTGGCTTCTTTCATGCTGAACAGGGATGCAGGGTGAGGCAACTGGAGTACCCCGCAGGGTCTATCTAGAAGACTCCCAAATGGCATAACTCTTGTCTCAAAGGGGAAAAGAAAGTCCTTGAATCATGAATAGGAGATGTGAAGGAAAAGTAAAGGTAAGAGTAATTAGCATTACAAGTATTAGGGAACTAGAAAAAAGTCAGAACAGGGCAGTTTTTCAAATGTTCATATGAGAGTCCATTGGAGTTTCTTGACACCGGCTTCTAAAAGCCTCCCTCTATTGGGTTCTTCCTCATTTTTCTTTTGTCTTCCAAGGCTGGACCAGTTGACTTGGAAATAAGCTGTTTTAAGATAAAATGCTCTGTCTTCCTAAAGATGAGGGACATGCCTTTACTAACCCCATATCTCCTCTAACTGGGTAGAATATTGTCAAAGGTGAGTACCACACAAGATGAGAGTGTGGCCTCCTAGAGATCTCAGAGCAAGATGAGTTGGAGAGATGCTGCATCAGCCCCACATGTTTCACTTCCAACAGTATAGTATATGAGAGAGTATATTACTTTCACCATACTTAACCCATATTAGTTTGGGTTCTTTGAACTAATTCCAAGCTCATATCCTAACAGCGCAAGGAATGAAGATTGATGGAAAAGGACATAACAGTTAAGAAGCTACACTGACTCTCATTCCTGAATGCTCTGGAAGTCCTTCTCCATGCTGTGACTTGGGCGTGCTTGCTCGGTT